ACTCTCAGTAGCACAGATAATTTTAAAATTATGTGAAAAAAACAGTTGTGAAATTCATAATTTTCTGATGTGTGATTTGATAGTTGAGTAATTACTGTGTAATGTCATTTTGATGGATTATGACCTTTTCTTTATTCTATGTACTGAGATTTAATTACAGTACAGAATAAATGCTGGGAAAAAATGTTAATGAATAAAAAATAGGTCTATACAAGAGCAATTCATTGTCCATGTTTAAATTTAAATTTTGCAAGTCTATAAATTTTAGTAAAGATATAACACACCTATTTTATTAATTTACTCTATGTACACAATTGAAAGAATGTTACAAAGAAGATTACGGATTGTGTCCAGGACTACATGATACTTTTCAAATTTTTATAAAATATCTTAAATTTGATTTGAAAAAATCAATTGCTGGAGACTAATAAGCAATTAATCTAGTTTAAGAGTCATTTTCAGGCATAAAAGCTTTAAAAAGTACTGAAAAATACCTGTTCATGAACAGAGATATCCCTTGACTGTAATTAAAACAATGTAGATTAAAATTTGACTTGGATCTTTCAAAAATGATCAAGAAGAGTTCTTCTGACTTTAGACTTTCCAAGATGCTCCACCTTAATTGCCTTAATGGAGCAGTTTCTCACAGCTCTACCTGATCTGTTGTGTAGCGGGGCTACTGGTGTTTCCTTTTTGGTGGGTGTTGCACGTCTGGGTATGTGTGAGCGCTGTGGGATCTTCTGGGATTGGGATTCATTAATAGTAAGGAATTAATTATTTTTACATCCTATGACCATGTGCATTACAAAAGGTTATTAGTTTCTTCACAAAGATCTTTGTCATGCCATACAGTATCTAGTTTTGTATTGGCATTTTCAACAGGTTATTCAGGTTTCCTCATATGTCACTTTCTGACAGCAAATTAAAGTAATGCACGCCAGTTCCACCTTTCCTGCATCTTCACTCCTGATATTGTTTAATATGTGGAATATGTTCAAGTTGTCCCTTTGCCAATTTTCTTTGTGATATTCTTTATGGCTGGAAAGACTGTTACAAGCTTATTAGCTCCATCACAAATCCCAGGCACAAAATGACATCGGAGAAATATTTAATTTTTAACTGCTCACTTTCAGGATTATTAGCACACAAACATGTTTTTGGAGAAGAAAAAAAATCTATTTTCTAATATGCTATACTTCAATGACTCCCGGGTTTTTCTTGGAGAAAAGCAAAGACAATTTATTTATGCTAGATTCTGAGATGGAATATGTGTTTGCTACAGTCAAACTGAAGAGACAAAAATAAGAAGGCAATACACAGTTATTGTGCACAAACAAAATAAACTCTGATCACTGATAGTGGCGTGTTTCTGTTATTGAAGGATAAATTGAAAACTGAGCAGTGGTTATGAAAAATCGAAATTAACAGTAATGTTGCAAAACCTGATTACTTGATCAAATTGGGCTGCCTGGGAGACACTAACTGGCACTGATTGGATTGGTTTAGTATGTCGACCAAGGGATAGCTGCTTGAATTCGCACTGATTGCTGCACAGTGGAAGGAAGAAAAGCAAAGACATGTGCCCATCCAGCCTGTACAAAAAGCCCTTCAATACACTGATGACCCAATCTGTGGTAACTATGGAAAAAATACACAAATTGCCCTTTATGTAACTGAAAAAAAGCCTTGCTTCTGGTTCAGTCATAAAGGGTTCCGTGGTAAATTCCATAGTATATACTGGACAGATCAGCTTGCTACACCTCCAGTATGTCTTATAAGTTTTTTTTTATTTCATATTATATTCACAAAGTTGGGTGTTTTTGACTTGTTAGAACCTGGCAACAGTTTTTCAGTTTACAGAAAACAAAATCTCAGACTCTTCAAAAGTAAGGAGTGTAAAGACACAGTAGAATTCATAGCTGAACATTTTCAATTGACTTGTCAACAAAAACAGACACCCTCACCTCTAATAGGCAAATGCTGGTGTGTCCTATTGAGCCCACTTGGAAGGGTTAAACCTGTGAAGCGGTTTCATAGCATGTCTCAGCGGCATGCAGTAAAGTTATCAAATTTCATCATAAAATCCATCCATCCAGTTTGTAATTAAATGTAGCTTAAACCCACAACATTCTTGTCCGCAAAAGCACCGAAAGCATAAAATGAATCCTAGCTATATAAGTGAGAAAAGACATTTTGTATTTTTCATTTCTTTAAAAAAAAAACACTAGCAAGTTAGAGAGTGAAGACAATCTTTCATCTGAACACATTATGCAATAAATTTAAAATATTGACAGTAAGTCTGGGTCCAAAGATATAATCCACACTTTTGTAACTGCCATAAAGTATACATTTAATTTAAAATTGGCAGCGACTTAAATGACTCACTCAAGCCCGTGGCTTACAAAAAATAATATGAGAAAGCTGGCAAGTGAGCTGAGGCTATTTGGCCCATCGAACTCATTTGACTGCTAGCGGCTAACGGATCCGAGTATCCCATTGAGAAGCCTCTTGAAAGAAACCAGAGTGTCGTCTCCAACATGGCTGGGTAGCCGGTTCCACACTTCCACAGCTCTTGTAAATCGTGCCTTCTGTTTTCAGTTTTAAATGCACTTCCCAAACATTTCCAGGTCAGGTTTCACTGGCAATTCTGAAGACGTTCACTGGCTGGGACTCAGTTTGAGGGGGGGGGGGTTCATTTCTTTTTGGCCACTAAAATGGTTTCAACTATTTCAAAAAATAGTCTTAGAACACAAAGTTTAAAGAAAATTAGATGGGGTACATTTTGAAGAAACCTCACCACTCAACCATAATAACACTAATCTGGGTCTGCCATGTGCCCTTGGATCTTCAGAGCACATATAGCTAAGGCAATACTTGGATGCAAACAGCAGTCTGGCTGAACAAGCATTTCAGAAAGGATAAGGCATTCACAAACCTAACTCTGCAACCATAACCAATTTTCACCTCTCAGCGAAACAAACCTTACATATTGTAAAGCATTAAAGTAGTAGCTGCAATGTTACTAGTTGGACTACACCGCAAGACATTGTTTTCAATTAACCCAAATACTAGAATATACTGCCTTACAGTACATAGTAGATGGCTTCATTTAGCTGTACAGAACATGTATCAGTATACAGTATGTGCCAATCAAAACAAGGAACAGCCTAATGGGCTGCATGACTAGTAACCTTTTTAGGAGGGAGTCTTAATTGGGAGAATACTTCCTTTCTAAAACAAGACTGAATACTGAAAGGCAGCACTAGTTATGCAGTGTAACCTATCTGAGTACATAACCTGTAGCCCAGGGTGTCAGCCCAAGCACTCTCCCAGTCTTATGATACTGGCTTCCATATCTTAATTGTCCTCTTTTTCTCTATGGAAACTGAAATATCTGGGACATCGATTGCTAAAAAAAAAACAAAAAAAAACATCAATAATATGAGAAGGGAATTTTCTTACTTTATCTGTATTGCTTCTGGAAAATCTTAGAACTATGCTCAACTTCTCATGCAGTTTAGCATTTTCTGAGCTCTGCTTTTATAAGACGTATCCTGAGCAGATATTGAGGTGATACTGTGTTTCTAGAGTCAGTGAGTGATGTAAACAGACAATAACTTAAAATATATGAAGTATTCTGAGGCAGTATATCTTCTTGCATAATTCAATATTAGATTTCAGCTATGAGACTTCAGCTTGCGTGGTGATTCTTGTAAAACCATCTGTGTGATATTATGAACCATTTCAAATTGAAATATTCCTCAGATATTGGCTTGTTGTGTGATACTAATTTAAATGATGGCAGAATTCACTTTAGAATTGCCTGTAAAACTATTCCTCTGACTTCTGAGATATCTCTACTTTGATGGAATAATGCTTATTTTAATCTCAAATTGATCCCAGATTTCTTTTTTCTTATCCAGGTGTAGAAACAATATGTGTTCCTTTTTATAATTAAATGCCTCAACCTGTCCTCTAGGGAGGTCTAGCAGCCATAGTTACAGCTACTGCTAAGCAGGCAATATTTATCTTACATTGCTTTTTATTTAACTCTTGCCTCCATGACTACATTGCAGGGTACCTTCGACCTGTATTAATTGTAACAGATTATATAAAAAATGTTGCTAGATTTAAATGTATCATTTTCTTTTGATTGTCATAACAGAAAAAAACAATTATAAAATACTAAAGACACATGTTGTTTACATTCTATTGTCAAATGTTTAAATAATATTAGTGAACAGATCAACGTCACCCATTAATTCATACAAATTCAAACTGTGGGTGAATGAAACCCTTAAAACCAACAGTTGTCGCTTGGCTGTTTTACCACATGTAGAAACTCCAGTGCTGGTTTGTTTACACCAGAACTAATGAAGCGCTGTATCATTCCAAAATATTGAATAATTAAGCCAAGACTAGTAAGAAATGAAATGTAATTATAAATCATTAAATTTCACAGAATGACTCTCCATGGAAGATAATTTTGTGTATCAATAGGAGCAGTATGTTAAGCTGTTCTGTTTTTAATCACCAAAAAAGAATGGGATAAAAAATCTCTCAAAAGATAATTTACCTTTTTAAAGAAAAAAATAACTGCACATGTTAAAAGCCCCAGTGTCACACAAAGGCTCCATGCTTATCTTCTAATTAAACCATGTGAAGAGACTGGGGATTATTTTCATATTGATACAGGGCATCGTTAGTTATTTCACAAAACACAGATATTCAATATAAAGTTAAGGCTTATGTATTGCCTAAAAATTTAAAAATTGAAAATGATTTTAAGGTGAACAAAACTTTAAAGATTCTTGTATATATAAACATCATAAAGCTGATGGAATCAAGACCTTAAAACAGACCTATGTTTCTACTGAGTTTTTCCATATCTCTCCAACATGCTTCCAACATTCTTCCAACATGATACACAGAAAAATAACATGTATAGTTTTTTTCCAAATCAGAGTACTGTAGAGCAAAAATAACAAAAGTGAACTTACTGCACTGCTACAAGGAATATCCTTGACTTTAAGCCAGGCCAAATCTAATGTTCCTTCCCCTTTGTAGCAAGACTGAAGTCTATCCTTGATGCGGTCATTGATGTTTTTCAGCATAAAGACACAAAGTGCAGATTCCTCTGGAGATTTGGTTCTCCTCTTTTGGCCTTTTGAAAATATGGTGTAAAGGACATCATCATCAGGACTAATGCCCAGTGACCTGGCTAAAATAGCACCAGCTTTTGACAAGTAAGCAGCCTGAAGCAACCGATATTCAATGCCATTCTTCATACAGCCAATGGGAACCTCCACATAAGAGTTAAAAGCAGTGTCTTCTTTGCAGAGACGGACAAGTTTGGATGTGTACACCTGCTCCTTGGTAGCAGAGCCAGTGGGACTGGTCATTTCAGGCTGAAGAGTCAAAAAATAGACAAAGTTTCCACTACTGAAGCCATAGACATAGTAAATATCAAAGTCTGGAATGATTGTGAAAGTATCGGAAGGAATTTTGATCATTGAGGCTACAAATTCATCGTGGAATACATAGGCAAACATCCCATCAGCCTCCGAGTTTCTTGTTAATTTCCGACTGGAGATAGTAGGGAAATATTCGGGCTTGCCATCCACAGCAGTTGCAATAAACAGTTTGTCAGCAGAGTCTTTGTTGGACACAATCACTCCAAACACTGAGCCACTGTCATTGACCCCAGAGAGGTAGTGCTCTTTCTTATGGGATGGCTCCCCAAGCTTGAAAAGATCCTCAAGCCTCAAAAGTTTGCAAATTCCCTGGTAAAGACTACCACAGGCTAGCAACCTATTTTCTTTATAGTCTATCAGCAGCATTTTGTTTATATTGTTCGTGAGGGTTAATGGTTCATGGCAAGGCTGAACTATCCTTGGAGGATAACACTTAGGGTTGTCCTCATCCGGTCCAGTTTGGTGGGTTACTTGCACCTTTAAGTCACTGGAAAGTTTGTAGATCCTATTCACAGCACCCAAGTAAACATTCCCATTTCTTGCATCAACAGCTAAGTGGTTGAAAGTCCATTCAGAATTTTCAGAATGGAAAGTGCTGAATTCCTTGTTGATGTGGACAGGTTGCCTGGAAGCTGATGAAGCTGTCAGAATTGGCAAAATGTAAAAGGTCAGAAAAGTCCAATTTCTCATAAAAGAAGCCATTTCTGAAGACTGAACGGTTTCTATTCCCAGCAAGAATGCTCAGTCCAGTAGATTCAGCTGGTCTTGATCAAAATCTGTTTTTCCATCTGAAATCATTGTGGACCTGCAAAAACATGGGAAAAGAAAAATATTTAGAACATTTGTTAACTTTTGCTTACTTTTACAACTATTAATATAACTGCCTCATCATTTTGAAGACATCTTGAGGGATTTGTAAGTGTAGTTTTCTTTGAAAGAGCTTCTCTGCCATTTGCTCAGGTAACTTCCTATTGTTTTGTTAATGTTATGGACAATAAAAATAAGACATGCCATGTGTCACAATATACTATTTTTTGTTTTTACTTGCAAACCCCGGTTGTACATCATCTTCCCATCTCGATCAGCAGATGCCAAAACAAGTGAAGAAACAATCAAATGGTTAAGACTGCTAATGCATATGGATTAACATTTATATTACTCTATGAAAGTGTGACACAAGCTACAAGACTGTTGTAAATCTGACATCTGTTCTGCCACAGAACAAGACAAAAAGCTGAGTTTTTATGCAGCCACCAAGTAAAAGTCGACACGATGTTAAGATTTTTTTCTTCTTCACTCTTATACCCAACGATGCAATAGGATACATTAAAAACTGCTCCACACATTTTTGTTCTTTGTCATCCTACTTCTTTTTTCCTGTGAAAAAGAGATTGTTTTCTTCTCAGTATTCGTCGTGCACTGCAGCTGTTGAAACCAGGACAAACAGCGCAATCTATTTACGCCCGTACAAAGTTCGCCACTGAAGCGTGTCTCCATATTCAGCGTTTTGGAGACTCCAGTTAAAAGCAGTCATACTGTTAGAAAAGCTTTTAACTTTTTCTAAAATTACTGTTTAAGATGACACTTGCCTTAAACAGTAATTGATAAGGTGTAAAACCTGACTGGTTCTATAAAATGCCCCAAAGCACAAAATAAAAAAACATCCACAATGGACGCTGTTAATATTCACTTCTCTTTCCACACGGGCACCAGTGTTTTTAATGCGTTTAAAATGTGTTTGCACTGAGATTTATCTGTACACTAATATAAGAAGGCTGCACATGCAATCGGCAGCACAGCAAGCCTTTTTTTCCTAATTCATTTTCTCTTAGGTTCAAAAATATGCTTGCCGCCTTGGCTATTTTTGCCTGCTCCTCAATAAAACTGTCCGGGAGAATGTGAACTGAAAGGTTGAACATCTAAGCCGGCCTAAAACATTCCACAAGTCAAATCTCACTGTCAATTTTCCAGGGAAATGCACAACCACCAGCTCTATAGAATGCTGCAGTAGCCTGGCTATTCATCTTTGAATCATTTATCAAACCTACAGAGAGACAATCTTGTTACATATGGAAGTGAACTTCACACTTACACACAGAGAGGACTCCATTAGCAAAAATGGATTTTCTGGCTAGCGCAGTTTATATGCTGTGACAAAGCCAAGAACTACCATCAATGCTCAACACACCACAAAACTGTGTCCATGCCAGCTTTGCGTAGGCCTGTTTCAACACTTTTAGGATAAATCTATTTCAAGATTTATTTCCTTCGGCTAGTTTGTTCAGGTACTGTATATCCAGTACCTTAATTTATAAGAACTGCAGCTCAACCACAAGAGAAGTACATGAAATAAAGTAAATAAAAAATACCATCTGACTCATGTCTTTAAGATTTACCATTCAGACACCAAACTCAAGTTTGTCACTGACAGTTAATTATCCTTCCCACTAGGAGTGCGCATTCAGCTTTATTTGTCTTTGCTTGTTGATCACTGTGTGCTAATAATTAAATTTCAAATCACACTGGGCATATGCCATTTTATACTCCATGTTTCTAGTTCAAACATTTTTTATTTACTTTCAGTGTGTTTATGTGCTTCAAAATGCCAATAGCAGGATTATACACCCCAAGCAGAAGTATAAAATCCCATAGCAACATGACTGTATTGGATTTTTTTAATTACATTCTTTTCAAGATGAAATTTGCATACTTATGAAGCATTACCTATATTTAATTTGCTTTTTCCGTCTTATCTTGATTTGGTGGAAAACATGGTGCTCAAGTAAGCTTACAATTGGGTAGCAATAGAAAAATCCTCTAACCAGAATGCGGGACTAAAACCTGGAGATTATATCTGCACTCTTGCTGTGTTTGAGTCCCCTGTGACAGAAAGACAGACTGGCCACGTACTGATGGCAAAGCACCCTGGGATCCCCAGGCCCTGTCAATGACCAAACAGCCATGGGACTGTACCCATAGGATCTAGCTTTCTCATGACACATTATTTGTCATGTTTCCATTGTGAATGCGCAATAACAAACAAAGGCAAATGGTTTACTACTGATAGCTCCAAAGACAGTCATATGCATTTAATTAGTGTTGCTACAATAGCATCAAGTTACAATTTCAAAATTCCAAATTGAAGCATAAAGAAGAAATATGTCTGTATCAATATGTATCAACACAGCAGAAAGGGCCTTTGTGATATAACCATGTGTTCATTAATGGATCTGTGTTTAAACTAATCAAGAAAAGGTTAATTCATCTACAGTTTCAATATTTCATTGTTTATATATAATGGTAAAAACAACTTTAGAGAGAGACTTTAAGTCATTATAAATGTAAATTATATACACAGAGACACTCTTCAGAGCTTTTATGTAATTTGGGTACCCAGACCTTCTGTATGATTTCATTTTTTTCAACAAGCTCTCATTTCTTACCAGAGTAATTCTCTTTCAAAAACTAATAGAACCAACATTACCTATTTAAGACCAATTTGTAACACCTCACAGAATGATTGTATTCACATACCTATATGAAACAGACCATAGTATTTTGTCATTCTAACAGAAAAAAACAACACATTGCACAAGGTATAAAGTAGATATTGGATACCCAACCTCAAAATTAGGTCCAGGTTGTCACTCACATGTCATTTTTCCAATTATTGGTTTTGTCGCAATTGTTCATTTTGCGAAGTTAAAATTTGAATGATATAATAACTGGCAAGAGTGACACTCGACACACCTTGTCACTACTAGTGCTTCCTCTACAGCAGTGCTGTCAACGCCGGTATCCTCACGAAAACAAGAATAGCCTACTTAGCCACCTAAGACAACATGGTACAAGCTTTTCTAATCCTTAAAAACTTCGCTGAAGAGTAATCACATTGATTAATTCTCCTCAGATACAGTAATTAACAGAAGTTGTTTAACATGGCTTCTATTTTATTTTTAGAGCATCCTCTGCCAGATGTGCTAAACTCATCAACCAGTCCTCCCTCCAGACACAGATGACTGCTCCTTCTTTGCTTTTCTGACACACTCTTTTGGAGCTCTGTGTAATTGGCTGGTCCTGCATTCTCCTGTTGGACTGGAACTAAAAGACAGCAGAAGAAAGAGGAAGCCAGACCCATCCAAGAGGGGGAATAAAACTGACATAATGAGAGAAACATCTGAATATTATTACAAATCGAGTTTTACTGTCCCAGGAACCCCACTCCTCTTCTTTATCCATCAGACTAGGTAGTGGATGAAATGCAGATCCAAGCTCAAATTGAAATATATATCAAGTAAAACAAAAAGGAAGTTATCACAGAAGCTCTTAATGTGTTATTTTCACTCAGCATCAGGGATTCTGCTCCCTTTGATATCTGGGAAGGAATATACTCATTCAGGCTCAAGTCTGTGCCTATATATCAAAAGCTCCACCCTCCTTCACATGCATGATCAGCCTCAAGTGCTACCAGAAGGCCCACAAATATTATCAAACTTCACTAATTTCATATACATTCATATAAAACTACACACTGCAGAAAACTACACCTGAACAGCCAAAATGTTGTGTCTCTTTTATTTTCAGTATGGGATAAACCTTCACCATCATTCCAATACTATTAGTGTACCTCTTTACTATAACGCATCAACTAACGAAGAGAACGAGTTTCACTCCTCTCACAACAGCTAGATGATTTTAGAATATTACACACAAACATTTGTTTGTAGTAGTGTAGTATAGTATGCACCTTGGTCGTCCTCCAAAAACCCCAGCACAGGTATCAGAAATGTCTACTCTGAAGAAACAAACTTGCAGGCTAATATCCTTCCTTCTACTGGTGCCATGGAAAATCAGCATCAGACAAACTATTCAGCCAGTAAATAAACAAGATATTATATATATAATAGGTACTTAGACAGTGAGGTAGTGAGGTTAGTGAGGTTAGATAGTGAGGTAAAACTATTTTAATTTGTCATCCCAAGTGAACTTGTGTGAGATTCATATCCACGGTGGGTAAAACGTATAATGAAACTGAAACTGAAATGTAATATTCAGCCTTTTGTTGCTAGGAATCCATATAACCTTTAAGCTGAGGACAATTAAGGAATCGCGTTAAAGCTTCACAACTTACACATTGGTGCCTAATTGCAGTGAATTTTAAATGTCAGTCCAAACGGTTGATTTGTCATGTACACAGTTTTATCAAAATGTAATGGGTGTTGAAGTGCAAAAAGTACATTTTTCCACTGCTCTGCTCTTTATTTCCCTATTGGCGACACCACCAGTCCACCAATAGGCCTACAGCAGGGTAAAGATAGGACGCATGTGTAGTTTAAGAGCTCAGGAAATTACACAGCACTTTAAATTACCCTAAAATCTTAAGTTGCGGGCTATTCCGTGACAAGTAGGGCATGGGCCAACCATTTCTAGGCCTAGATGATACGGCTGGCGAGGTGTTCCACACTCCTTAGCCTTTTTCGATGTACCTGGCCACCGTCATGGCCTGTCTATATCAACCAGCACCTTTTTTAGAGTCTAATGAGCGTTGGCATCAGGCGCCTCAACCCAGCCTTCGGTTCATCTCACAGCGACAGCTCTCCTTACCAAAAGTTGCCCACTATGTGGCTGGCATTCCACATCAGTGGCTGGGCTTCTTACCCACTTGAAGTCTGAGACTTATAGTCATTCACTTTACCAGATAAAACTGTGACACTGCCCTGAGGGAATCCGTGAAGAGAACCAGCTACTAGCTGGCTCCATTTGTCTTTTGCCCCTATACCCAGGCCGGCCAACCAATTTGCACAT